TACCAGCTTACAGCCACAGCAGGGTGTGAAAGGACCAGGGTTCTGCTGTCGTGTACTGGACCTGTCTTTGTTTCTCTGTATGTGCTTGTGTCTTGGAGCACTTCCTGTATGGAAAGAAAATCTTTAAGGGGCCTTAAAGATCATGGAGTTCCAGTCCCCTGCTGTGGGCAGGGACTCCTTTCACTAGACCAGGTTGTTCAGCGCCCCATCCAGTCTGACCTTTAGCGCTTCCAGGAATGGGGCATCCTCAGCTTCTCTGGGCAGCCTGTGCCAGGGCTCAGCACCCTGACAGTGACAGTGCTGGTCACCTGCACATCTATTGCTGAAACGCCGCCCAATCTCAGCATTGATAAGCTTTAGCTAAAGGAGATGTTACATGGATTGACATAAGCACATCTCTTAAAAGTTTTTCCAGTGACTGCAATGCTTCATTACACTTCCTGTAAAGCAGATTGATTGCTTTTATCATGAGTAAATACTGAATTACAGCCCATGGCAAGCTGGGCCCTGAAAATAACTGAGCTATGCAGAGACAACTTGTTCCTGAAACAATTGCTTCTGACACATCATGGATGAGTGTATCTTGGCTTGTTATGGAGAAGCACTGAAGTTGACTTTACAAGGCAGTTTGCACACAGAATGAAGCCTAATTTAAATTTGCTTAATCCCATAATGTAGTATTAACATGATTGTGATATTTGCTTGCCAAGAGTGTGCATGCCACTTCTGTGTGGGCACCCTCGAGGCACGTTTCTCAAATTGCACAGCTTGTTATTAACTATTTTTAGATGTTTAGGCAAACTTACAAAAACTGACAAATGGTAAAAGCATTCTGTAATGTTTTGTGGAGAACTAGAACTGCTATGTAGATAACAACAGGGAGCCTGGATCTCACATTCAATTAAGATTTGGACTAAAGAACCATCGAGGAGGTTTTGTATATTTCAGTCCCTACCTCATGGCATGAGGAATGTGAAATTCCTATATGGTATCATTTATTCTGATTGCACCTTCAGCCAGTGTTATCTGTGGCAGATTTAATGTGCGTGCTGTGAGAGGCAGTACGTGCTCCAAGCAGCTTCAAGTCTTCGGAGCTGAGACAGAAAGGAAGAACTTGGTACATTCTTTAAGGACAGTCAGTGTACAGTGTCATTTAGTTTACTGATAGCTCCAGTCTTATTTGATATGGGTATTATTTCCTGGGTTGGTTTTGGTCTGTGGCTATTTTAAATTTCCCTTTGAACAACTGAATACATTATTTATCAAAGGTATTGTGGTTACAATGCTTTTTCTTCTGACATTTTTCCCTAAGAATATCATTAGATTGCTGTTCCTTGCCCTGGCAAGCTGCCTGCTGAGCTCTCTCTGTGTCTCTGCAATTGAGCTCACTGTGGAGCAGCTCAATCTCAGCCTGGTTTCCTCATTCGCCATGCCCATGTGCCTCCCCACAGCCTTTCTTTGGGTGGGGGCTTGCTGAGGGTGGTGGAACATGTTGGGAGAGGAGCCTGAAGGAGGGGAAGAGCTGGCATGAAGTACAAATGCCCTCCCACACACTCTGTGGTGCGCAGGTGGAGGGTCAGAGGCAGAAGGCCTGGCTGGAGAGTGGGACACGGGGGCTGTGTGATGCTGAGGGATTCTGGTCTTGTGGAACGTGGAGAGTGTGTGGTTCAGGGTCACCACACCGGGTGTCCTGCCCTGGTGACAGGCTGTGGTGACCGTCTGTGGGCTGTGCCAGCCCTGTCCAGCCCTGGGAAGGTGGCTGGAGCTGGGGCACTGTGCATCCCTCTGTGCTGCTCCAGGGCCCCTCAGCATGGTGCTAGTACAGGCCAGCACAGTGCTAAGATTTGAAAATGCTGTTTCTCGATGAAATGCAAACAGGTCTATTCACAAACTCCTGCAAGTAGGGATGTTTCTGAAGGGGTGACTTCCTGCTTTGTTCTAGATTTGGGTTCTAGAAAACCTGCACGGTTTCTAGATTTGGGCAGGGTGTTTTGTGAGGACTTTAATTTCTTACACTTTCATGTAACGAAAGGGTGGGATGAGGGTGAAATTTCGCAGAGGGGCTGGTGCACAGAGGGGCTCATTCGCCGGGCAGCGGCTGAGGGAGGGCAGCGCCATCGCTGCCGGCAGTGCCCGGCCCTCGCTGCCGTTACGGCCATCGGCTCCCTCAGGGCTGAACCTGCTGGGAGCCGGCTGCGCTCCCGGGGAGCGGCTGGGCCCGGGGCGAGAACGAGGGAAGAACGAGCGTGTTCTGTTGGAAGGAGTTTTAGTTTGTTTTCTCTCTCGTGGGAGTTTCTCCCTCGGGCCACGCCGCGTTTGGCCCGTGCCAGGCGCTGCGCTCGCCCTGAGGTGGCCGGGCCGGCCTCGCCTTATCGCGGGGACACCGTCTCGGGCCGGGAGCGTGTTGTGGGCTCGGTTACGCCAGTGCTTGCTTTCCCTGTGGTGGGATTAAAAGATCAGGCTTGATCTTTGGCTGTTAGCCTGTGAATCCCAGTGGAGAACACTTTTCCCTTGCTTACTCGTGCTTCCCAGCGGGCGTGCGGCTGCTGTCCCTCTGCAGGGCCCGAGGAGAGGCCTCTGTCGGAAATGCTGCGGGAGACACAGATTGTACTCCAGCCACTGGGTGTAGTGTGATGACACATAAAATACTCTTTCGCCCTTTAAAAATGTGTGGATATGTTTGACAGTTGAATTTTTCTCCTCAAACCTCTACTGCACTGAAATCTGCCTTGAAATGTGTTGATATTTGTGGTTTAAGTTTGATGAGTAAAATTGATCTTAGGAGAATGGCGGAACATTTTCATTGCAATGTGTGCTGTGTGATGTGCAATTTGTAAGATGTGAGGTCTTGCTTGGGGTTGTTGCTGTGCTGCAGTAGCAATGCAGTAGCCTGACCTATCACAGCAGGAGTGAGGGATGAGAGAGATCCAGGAACAAATACCATCCTCCAGCAGGTAATTTTTTCATCTCCAAGTAGCACTAAACTTCCACTGGGATCTAGAAGGCCAGCTAATAATTTAAAGCATAAATATTTTAAAGTATCAAAACTGTGGGGGAGATGGTGAGAGGAAGAATATGGGAATGGGAGGCTTCAGGATACTGAACTTAAGGGAACAAACACAGAAGATAAGGACATTTCAGAAACCCTAAATGGCTTGTTTGACTTGATTTTAGAGAATGAAAAGATAAGAAAATGTACTCTCCAGAGGTGCTGCTTGATTGCTAGCCTTGCATGTTATGAAAATAGGACACTTTCAGACTGAGAAAAGGACAAGTTGACTTAAATTGTAATGCATCAGTGAAACTGGGTTATATTTATTTGAGAATTCTGAAAATAGTTATGTGTGAAGTGATGAAGCTGCTAAGAATAAAGCTCAGTTTATCGTTATACCCGACTGTTACACTTGGAACTGCAGGGAATACCTCAGTTTGGATTTTTTTGTTTTGTTTTTGTTTTTCTTTGGGGGTGGGGGGGTAGGGGGTTGGATTTTTTTTTTTTTAATAGCTAAGTGAAGTCATTGGAATTATAAGCTAGTGAATCTAAGGAAAAGGTAGCCAATGGGTGGATGGCCTAGTTGACCGTGGCATGCATGGCTTCTGCAAAAAACCCAAACTCAGTAAACAGATCTTTGACCTCTCTTAAAATGAGGAGATGTTTTTGTGGGTTTTCTCAGAAGATTGCCAGACACAATACATGGTGTATATGAGTGGCAGTTCAATGAGTTCAGCTGTATGAGGCAAAATGTAAGATACAGAATTGGTCTGCATTAATCCTGTGTCTGCACAGGGGGTAACTGAAGTTGAGCTGAAATTTTGGTACTTCTACAGAAAACAGTTGTTTAATATATAATTGAATTGATTGCTTTTATTTATTTTGGCTGTTTGTTATTTTTTAGCTGAAGATTCAAAAATACACTGAAGTCAAGGAGAAAATCTTGTGAATGCAATGTTTTAGCATTAAATAAGGGTACATAGCATCTCCTTTGATGCCTAGATTAAATAGCAGCTTTCAGTTTCAGTATAGGGGATGAGCTGAAGCTTTATGAAGTGAGAGGAATTTTGGTTCATTGTTGTGGCAGCAATGAAAGTATTGCCATAAAAAAAGATTTCTGTTTGGACCTTGCTGCCACTGAGTATCAGCACTACTCTGGGTTGGAAAGAAGCTGAAGATACTGTTATGTCAGTTAGCAAATGGTAATAAGCTGAGAGCAACTCTGACCTGACAGATGATTTGCAACAGAAAGGCTACACGAGTGTGTTAACAAACCTGATAGCATAAGATGTGGGGAGTGTTAGACTGTATCTGCTCCAGGAACAGATTTTCACAGGGGAAGATAACATGTCTTGCTTCTTGTCTTCGGTGTTCCTCTCACCCAGAGTTCAGTGGACAGATTTCCTATTGGTTCTTGCATGTCAGCAGAAATCACAGGGTTTTGAATGAGAATGTATTTTATACAATTTTGAAAATGAAATTTAGTGGAATAGAATAAGAGTTGAGTTGAGTTGTAAAAATGAAGAGAAAAAACAATAGAGTTTTTACAAATGTGCATCTATCTTGTTTAAAATGTTTCTCAGTGCTGGATGTTTGTATACCTAACGGCCCTGAGCAGACTGGTATAAGCGAGCCTGATTTGATGCACACCCTTCTGATGATGGTGTCATTTTTCTGACACTCAGGAGTTTTGACATGCCATAACATGTCACTATGCTCTAAGAAGACGAACCGGGCAATGTTTTTAAGGAACTAAAAGCACTCTTGGTCATTTAGGGAAGTGTCATTTGTTACCAATGGAGGTGCTGTTTACACTGTGATAAGGTGTGTTGGGATGCTTACCTCGGAGTTGGATTCTTAATCACCGTTCATTTGATGCAGTCGCTTACAATGCATTGTTTGCATATTTGTTTCTTCCCCTCGGACCTTACCGCTCGTTTAAGGAGCTTTTCCTTTCCCAATCTCCTGCTGTGCTCTTTGTAACGAGGCCTTTGCGTTGTGTCCACAGTGAAGGGCAGTCAGAAGTGTGAGCTGAACTGCCGCGCCATCGGCTACCGCTTCTACGTGCGCCAGGCGGAGACCGTGATCGACGGCACCCCCTGCGAGCCCAACGGGACGGCCATCTGCGTGGCAGGGCAGTGCAAGGTAAGGCACGCTGCCCCAGCTGCCCAAACCTGGGCAATGCTGCCTTAAACTTGCTTCTTTTTCTTAAATTTTATTTGTATTAAAGTAAGTGTGAAAAACATTCGCTTTTATTATTGCAGGTTGGGGGATTTCTTAATAACTTTTGTGTTTACTGAGAACAAACTAAGGAGTGCTGAAGGGATGGATTTAGGATTTTAGCCCCAATTAAGGTGTGTGCCCATGATCTTTTTCAACATATTTTACTTTCTGCATTAGATGTTGTTTGAAAGAACCAGAGCAAAAAGATTGAAAGCTTAAATAAGAAAGAAATACAATATCTTTTTTTATTCAGTTTTAGAGTGAAGATATTTTTCAGGGTCTGCAACAGAATGGTTTCTTTGGGTTGCTTTATAGCTGCTTGTAGTCAAACTTTTCTGATTGGGCCATGTTTGCCTCAGGTCTTATTGGCTCTCCTTTTACTCAGCAGTGATGTTCTCTTAGAAAACAATTGAGTGGTTACATTTCATGGGTTCAGAAAGAGCTGCTGTGTTGACTTTTTGCCATCTGCTGTGTAGATTCCATTTGCAATGAATAAATACACTCTTTGCAAGATGGTAGCAATTTTAAACAAAATGTTACAGTGTTTAGAAAAAAATTGTAATCTTTCAAGTGAGGTTAGTGAAAGAAATAAATTCCTAGCGAGGGGCATTTGACGCTTGGCTGATGTTTCCTATATGTGTTGGCAAAAGCTGCAGAAGTGGCTCAGATGTGACTCATGAACTCAAATAGTGAAAGGTCAAGTTCAGTTTAAATAGTTGGTTTGCCAGGGGAAATCACTGATGAATACAGCCTTGTCCTCTGCATGTCCCAATTCCTCTTACTTGTGCACATCTGGACAATGCCATGTTTGTTTCTGTTCTGTGTTTCTTAGTGCAAGCAAAGCCATAGCTTTGAATTTCCTGTGGGCAGGATAGATCTGGGTGAAGTTGGTTGTGCTTTAAAGCTTTCCTTGATCTCAGTCTAATTCAGAAAGGGCCAGAAACTTGTTTTAACTGCATTTCTGATCCATGACTCAGAAAACTGATAATTGAATTGTGTCTTACAAACATATAGTCTCTGTCACCCTCTGTTGGACATTTTTTTGCATTACCAGAACAGTAATATCCCTATGTTACAAACCATTATCTGTTTTGTTCCCAGGACCATTTGTTTTGGTTAGTATTTTCAGCTTACCTTAAGAGGAAAAAGAAGATGGAAAATGCTGAAATAATAAAGATTATTCAGAAGTATAGTAAAGAATATGATATATGAGATGAAATAGTCCTTAAAAAACCTTGAAGTGAAAAAGCCCAACACATTAGAGTATTTAATTATAAGAACATATTGTCTGTCTGTGACACTGTCATAACTGGCACATATACTAACCCAAGTGCTGCAAAAACTCACTTTTCATTGAAATGATTATGTATTTCCTGAATCCTAATTAAATTAAAACTTCTTAAATTATTAAATACTTTTAAAATAAAACAAGACAAGGCAGGAAGAATGGGGTGATAATCTACCTATGCAGAAGAAAGAAGTAGAACAATGATATTGAAAATCAGCTGCATTATTTCTCTGTAAGTTTGGTTTTCTGCACACTTGAGCAATATTATTACTGATGGATTTTTTAAAGTGAACAAATGTTTTCCGTGACAGTCCTATGGAGTTCCACTTCTGGTTTTTTGTAGTTTTTATTTGGTGTCACAACTGGTTATTCCTAAGACACACACTTGGAATATGTTTCAGTATTATTGAGTAGATGTTGTTTTTGTAAATATATTTGCTACTCCTCTTCTAACCCTACACTTTGACAGTGCTATTAAATTAAAGAGTGACTGCCAATGGGACTTCCTTCAATTTGCTATTTAGTCAGAAGTGTCTGTTTTCTTCCTTCAAGATTTTTTTCCTTCTTTTGTGTGTATCCTTACATTTCTTCTGGAGACAGTGGGCTGCTGCTACTCAGTAACTTTTAATCTTAGAAGAAAAATGCAGAGAGAATACTGAGGAGACTTTAATAAACAAGCTATGAGAAAAGAATGTTCTTAATAATTCTGACCTTGCCCATAGATTGAGAAAGTGCCTCTAGGGCAGAATGTAGCATGTGTTGTTGCATGTGTCTGGGACACTCCCACTCGGAGAAGCCGTCCCAGTACCTAGGCAGGTGCGAGCCCCGACTCGAGGTGGTTTTGGAGACAGAAACGTCACCTGGGAGCTGTGAAAAAAATTGCTTTGGCAGAGCTGTTAGTTACCACACGGGGGCGCGCTTTACAAAGGATCATTCAGCATTCCAACCAAAATTCTGTTTGGCTGGGAACTGTAGATACCTCTCAAAGGTGCGTGAAACAATTATTTTCTGTCTCCTGATATTTATATTATATTTTCTCTTGCAATGTAGTTTGTTTTCGTCTTCCAGCTAGCTGCTGACGTTAATAGAAAAATATCTACACATTTTTAAGACCAACTGTGTAAGTTAAGTTGCATACTGTAATTTAAGTAGCAAAATGATTGGTAATAGAGATTTTACTTGCCTAAAACAAAAAGAATGCATCAGCTGTTGAAAACCTTGCAAACTTTCTAGAGAGGTAACTTGTGTCAGCTCTAGGAAGCATAGCCAACCATGCCAAATCTCCATCAGAAAAGCAGGATGAGGCAAGGAGCTCCTATTTGGAACTGTGCTGGTGTGTGCTAATGTCCAGGTAAGAGAACTATAGATGACATTCTTGTTTTAAGTTTGCCTTTGAACTGGTGTGAAATCTGGTGGTAGGTGGTTGCGAGTAGCAAATATTCAAGTTCAGACAAAATGACTAAGCACTGGATCTGCATATTTGTTCTTTTCCTATTGTCCAGCAGTCTCTTGTTCTGGAAAAGACTTCACAGTGTAAAGGATGGAGCTCCTCACTCTTCCATGGAGCTGCTGTCTGAATCTATAGTTCTGCTATAAATGACCCAGGAAAACAGACCTTATCAGGATCAGATGTTATTTACAATGGCATTTAACATTTGAAAAAAAAAACCCCACCAAACCAACCAAAATAGTATTACAAAATATCTTCATTCTAAAAGGTTTTTAGCTGCTTTTATGTGTGCTACATACATACATACATAGCACATTGCTTGGAAAAGGTTTGCTTTGCTTTGAAGCAAAAGTAGGTGCTGAAGTGCAGCATAGAATGGCCAATCCAGATTCTGGTTCCCTCTGTGCTCCACACTCTGCTCTCCTGTCTGATGTGGTCAGGAACGTCTAACCTGCCTATCAGAAGCAGCTTGAGATACAGCAAAGTAATAGAGTGTTGTGGACCTTTATTTTGTTCTTATTTCTGCAATTTTAAAAATAATTTTTCAGATGTGGTTTGTCTTTATAAAAAGGTAGAATATAATCCTCATCTGCAGTATGCCTTTGCCTTCATAGATTAGCTGACAGTAGAAAATAAATCCCAGCTTTGAGCTTAATTGTATCACTAGAGAAGTTGTTCTGAAAGCAAATGCTGTTTTCTCTAATGATTAATTGACACAATTAGGGAATTTTATTATCCTTGAGTTATGCTTCTCTTTGAACTAATTTGAAATTGATATTGAAAATGATAAATCCAAAGTAAATCTGAAAAACAATCGGAAGTTTTCAAGAATGCTGGGTATAGCAGTGCAGTAGAAAAAAAATATTGCATGTTATTGGGCCTTGGTTTTTTCTGATTAAGCAGTTTGATGTATATTAGATTGAAAGTGAAGTCAGGTGTTTATGAATAATTAATTATTCCCTAGGTTGGAATAATTAAATGATCACTCCAGCTTAGTTTTAAAGAAACAAGATGAAGTCCTGTGGGATAGTGGATAAAAGGAGGCTGGGAGTGTTCATGAGGACACATTCAGTGACACACCAGTCCCTTCACATGGTTGTTCATAAAAACCCCTGAACTCATGATGACTGTTTTTTTTCCTGAAATACTGGCTTTCTGTGATGGAGAAATTAAATGCAGACAAGAAAAAAGGAGTTTGGATAAAAACAGAAAATAAATGTGATCTTAGCTATTCCTTTTTCTCAGTCCCTTGCCAAATATTCATGGATGCACTCGAACAAAACTAGCTATGGTAGCCCATAGGAAGACAGATTGCAGCACTGTCCTGCATTCACAAATGAGGAAACCAACAAAGAGCTGTGTACTCTGTGTCATGGTGGAGGTGAAGGGTTTGATGTCATGTCTCTTATGCAGAAATTACTAAGATGTAGTTTATGCCTTTTAGGTAACCAGTAGAACCAAACCTGTTTTGTGTTAGATTATAGCAGTTTAAAGAAAAAAAAAAACCAAGAAATTTCAACCAGTTGAAATACATTTGATTTCAATGAAAGTTTGGGAAAGCAGTTGTAAAAGAGAGTCATGTAGCTAGTACAGGACCCCTCTTCTGAGGTTAAATAGCAGAAGGAAACAAAGTAATTTAGATTTTATTGTAAAGAAACAAAGAGGGGTGCAGCAGAAGTAACGTTCTGCAACTCACATTGAAGGGATCTGTTAAACACCTGGGCAAGCCAGCAGTGGGGAGAAATCTATTAAGAAGGGATTGGCTGCATAAATATTCATTCTTGTTCTCCTATTTAGAAGAGGGCTGAAAACTTCACAATTACTCCTGCAGTATAAATGATACCTTTTGCTGTTAATTGGCTGAATTATGTTTCTTGTCCTGGAAATGTTCAAGCCATTTAACTTTCAGCATCTCATTGTGGTGCTTAGCTTGGGACTTCCAAAAAGGGCTTTTAGATTCCTCTCTGCAGAATGCTTAAAAAGATCCTTGGTCAGCTGCCTGACAGTAGAGATTGTCAGCAGACCCCCTCAGACAGGTGTTGACATTGGAGCATCTGAATTTGGCTCACTGACCCTGTGTTCTGTGACAGTAGAGGCTCTGAATGGGCAGCATCAGCTTTGTGCCATTGTCCCAGAAAAATTCTGGGAAGGGGAACTCAGTGTGGGGGGTGGTGTGTTATGCCG